TTTAATATAATTATATGAACATAGTTTTGTCAAATAAATAAATTTTTTCATATATTTTATGTAAAATTAATTATAATGAAAAATTATTTATATAATCATTTGTATGAAATCATATCATTTGTATTATGCCTGTTTGGATGCCTGTATCAATCATACGAAATAGGTGCAATATACTTTTCGTACGAAACAACTACTAATATCAAGTATCTAGCAAACGACGATCCATTAACACAAACCACGATCACCTATTGTATGCCCAGGGCAATATTTATTAAGTGGGACATGCAATACAAACTTATCAAAAATTACACTGGTACTGACCACCTACTTTTACAAAAATTCAATAGACTTTCAATCGGCGACCAATTTGCAGAGCTAATTTCACCTGATCAAAAATTTACATTATACGCTTTTCACAATAGACCATTCTATGTTGGCGGGGTCCTTTTAACAAATAAACATTATATGCCTATTGATATCGATTATTGGAATTATTGTTTAACTGTAAATATTTAATGATAAAATAGATGAATTAAAAAAAAATTCTAATTGGTAATAATGGGTAAGATATGTTATAGACAAATATTTTGGAATTTGATAGATATTATAGTGTTGTTGGATGCTCTCAACTTTAGTAAGATAATATATGAAAGAATTTTTAAATTATTCCAATTAATAAAGAAATGTCAGCGTTTTGAAATTTTTGATTTATGTAAGTATTGGCCAAAATTGCAAATATTAAATATGCTACCATTTCTTTATTAATTGTAATAATTTAAAAATTCTTTCATATTTATTATTATTATTGGTTGCAGCATCTATCGACACAATAATATCCATTAAATTCTAATATTTATGTCCTTAACATGGGAAATTGTATCTCACATTTTAGTTAACCCTGCCTTTATTACCAATTAGAATTTTTTGAAATTGGACTTAAATTAGGTTTATTTATCCCTCTTTCAGACACACTTAGCCATTTTGACCTATGACCTACCATCTGACCTGCACCTATGACCTTCGAGTTTGTTCCGATTTGTCCATGACTTATATATTTTATGAAAATATTTTAATTCGATAAGAATTGCATTAGATGAATGTAAATAATAAACTTTACAGATTGACTCTATCTCTACTAATTAAAAAGTTATTAAGCTTTAAAGTGAAGATTTTTTAATGGAACGCCCTAGTATCGATTTTAAATATCATTTATATAATAAATATTATATTTTATTTTTCGACATATGATATAATATATAAATCAATGTCAATTAATGAGATGATCTTGAACTATTAGTTTATTGATTTAATCATCAAGGTATGATATATTTGGATTTATTGATTTGCATGCTTTAAGTTTGGCAGTTTTATAATTCATTTGTATATTTGGAAAATGCATTTGTATGTAATAAGTGCATTTTCATATTTTATTGTTTATTTTGCATAATTGAACCTAGTTTAATATTTATACTGTATATTAAAAAACATTTATATTATTCTTTCTGAATATATTTCTCTAACAATGCATTACATTAAAAGTAAGTTAAAACAAATTGAGCAAGTAGCAAAGGGAAGGCTTTATGAATACTTATGGACTAATAATTCAATTGGAATCCAAATAAACAAAATGGATCCCTATTTGAAATACACCGAGATACTATTATCTGACTCAATAGATCATGTAATATGTGACTCGTACACATATCGCAGATTGATCAGGATAATTTGCGGCCTAATAATACTACTAACTGGCTTAGTATATGTAGTCGTTGGCATGTGTGTTGATGACCCTGGTATCCAAAAAATGATGCTTGTAGATCTTGTAGCATACATTGGTGACAAAATTATGACCGGGCTCATTATGAGCCTTTCGCTCTTACTGGTGGTTTTAGCTAAGTGTGGTCTGTATTACCAGCAGTATCAAGGAAAATTATATATTTTTAAATTTCTATATTATTTGAAATACGATCTTGTTAAATATCCATTAGGGGTCAAACACCAAAAGATTATTGCCATTAAAATGAGCATGATAAGGAATGCACTATCGTATGGGTACATTATGGCTGCTATAAATATAGCACCAGTTATCATATTTATAGCATACATTAAATTATATGATAGAATTATCAATGTAACCTTTATAGAATTGTGCCTGGTTATATTTCTTATAATACTCGTACTCTATTATGGCCGCGAGACATTTGCCTTGATAATAATAATTTTTATAATCGCCTACTCAACCACAAATTATATTCAAGGTAAATTTTTGGAAATTCACGATAAAATAGACCGGGCTATTCGACGCGATAACAAACGACTATTGTATGCGGCATTCTGTGAACACATATATTACGAGTTATGGGTTAGCAAATTGAACATGACCATTTGCGTAGTGGCGTTTGTGGTAGCATACCTTGGTATATTACTAACAGAACTACTAATATATGGCATTCATAATAAGGAGTCTACAATAATTTTACGGGTTATAAATGTATTAATTATTGGATGTAATGTGAGCATATCATTACGTATTAGCATGATGATTATGTCGATACCAAATGCCGCACATAAATCGTACCCACGATTGCTATCATACCTGTCAGATCCGAGGTCTACCCTAAAAGTTAGGGATCGGCTACGGGTGCAGACATTTATGGAAAGGCTGTCTGTCGGACCCACAATCGGCTATTATTGTCTGGACTGGTATCCCATAAATAGCTTCAAATGCTTCAATTTAGTACTACACTCAGCATCATATTATTTGTTAATGATCACGATCATTTAATTGTGTAAACTATATATTATTTTGTCTCAATACGATTAATGACGAAAATAAAATTTATTTTATGACTTAATTTTCATTATTTATATGAACATTTTAAAGTTACATGGAAACTATCAACGTCAATATTAAATTATATAATTCTTATTTATTTATTGAATTTGTTATAATTAAAAATTGTTATAATTTTAATAAAGGTTATCTCATATTTAACTTGTTATTATATTTATAACTTTGGAGCTAATGGTGCGAACACCGCTCCAATACCTGGCCTATTAATATTTATAGATACACCTGTAACTGAATCTACCTTGTCCGAAAATGGTACATGTTTAGGTGCCTCCCTTAGCCATAGGGCAATCCTATCAAATATAGATTGCCTGAGCAAGGTATTAGTGGATGAAGCGGCTGTATAATGGTTCCAGTCAAATTTAGTTAATGTATCGCCACTTCTCAATGGTAGTCCGTATTTATTTAGCACCTGTAGGTACCACTCGTCCTGTTGTTTATAAATCTATTTACAAAAATAAAATTTTAATTTGTTCCATATAAAATAATTGTTTTTGGGCAATTCAATAATTATGTATACAATATAAATTTTATTCATACTTGTTGAACTGCCCTTAATTAGTATACAAACCGATTCCGGTATCAATTTAGTTCCCAATAGTCGATCGGCATAGAGATTATAGACCATAAACCAGGTGTTTGGGGAATTATAACTCAATTTGAGATGTTTTTGAGAGGGGTCTTCACCCATACGCATCCATTCGGTCACATATTTTTCGGCGATTTCTCTGTATTTCTGTCGATCGGCGCGATTGTCGACCGCATCCGACAACTGAGCCATCGCTGCGATGCCTATAATGGCTTTCGCCGAAAGGTTCGTCGAGTTTACGATTGGGCCCAAAAAGTCATCAGTGGTTAGGGCTGTGCCTAAAATGGGAAAATTATTAAAAATTTTTAATTAATTAAAAATGAAGGGTAATTCAATAAGTATGTATACATATAGCGTGGGCACTTAATGAGTAACCCTGATTCAATTATATACCTGTGACCAAGCCGTGGTCCACTAAATACTGGGTCCACTGTTTCGATATATTATAGTGTTTTTCGGCAAACTCTGTATCATTAGTAGCCCTCACGTACGCCGACATCATGATCACCATATTAGCACTTTCCTCAACCTCCATGTCCTCCTGTTTGCCATCTCTGTGTCCAATACACCTGGGATAGTGAGTACCAAGGTCATGTATGCAGTACTTGTACGGGAAGAACCCGCGTTCCTGGTTATCGAGCAATGGGTCCAAAAGGTATCTCAAAAGTGTGGGATTCAGGTATAGCTGGACCGGGAAGTGGGGGTAAATCACGTCCACTGTCTGAC